AGCTGCTATTCAATCGCTTGTTTTGTATGGAAAAAGGTTTCACATGCAAATGGATTTTAACAATTCAGAATTTTTGTGAGAAAAAATTAAAAATATTTGACATTTTCGAGACCAAATAATTTGAAAATAAATCAAATCAGCTGCTCTACTGATACTACCTGTTCAATGTACCTTGATTTAAATGAATCAGACGACATATTTTGTTGACAACAAAAAAAAAAACTAAACAATAATGAAGCAAAACGTAAAAAATTTAAAAAGTTAATATATGTAAACAAGTAATTTTAAAGCAAAACCTACAATCGATTTTAATGCTCATATAACAATTTAAGAGTACCGTTAATTTCTTCATGATCCAAAGATCGGAACTAAATCAAATTAGTATGGAACTACCCTTGAGAAATGGTTCACGTGGTCCAGACTGATACGGTAGCATACATAAAGAAAATAATATTCCGATGAATTGATAAGCGTCCTTCTTTTTTCGAAGTCGGTTAAAAAATTTTAAAATGAACTTGCAAGAAATAGGAACAACAAACATAAGATAGGAAAATGTTTAATAAAAATCGATTAACAATTATTTAAACCATATTATCTGCTTTCGTTAGGCACCCTACATCATATAACCTTTGTCTACATCTGGCCTTGAACTTTTGCTTTGCGCCTTATCTATAGACATAGGTGTCTCTTCATCATCTTGAGCTTTTGGATTTGCAATGACCTCTTCTTCTTGTTCTTTCACACTCAACCCCATCTCTGGCTTTTTCTCTGCCGTCTGCTGCACTCCACCCTTCTCCTTTGGACCTTTGCAGCGACTTTTTGTTAGAACCTCTGGGTATACAACCAGAAGTAGCAGCAATTCCACTAGAAGCGTTACAACGTAGCAGCATAGTAGAAAGAGCAGGAACCAGCCATCCATAACACGTATCAAGAACTCATAGTCGCTTCGCTCAGCTTCATAATTATTCAAATTAGTATCGCCAAAATAAAGGAAAACAAGTAACAGGATAACCGCAAATTTTGCTATCCAAATGCAACTACGCACAAAGCGATCGACCTTAACCACGCCGTATTGCCAAGGTCCGAAAAGCGGCTGAAATAGAAACCAAGTCATGAATACATCGTGGTAAGCAGCCTTTACTTTTTTCCAATTCTGTGCTGTGGAAATTTGCTCATTTCCTGCAGCGCCCCCGAACGCCGTGTCATTTTGGCTTTCTTCATCTGGTTGCACAACGACTGGCTCTGCGCCAATCCACTTTCGTACTGTACAGTGTTGCTTCCCGCCATTTTCTAAATTCACTATTGTTATCGACTCACAGTACCAGGAGGGATAGCGTCCACTCTTATCCTGGCTTATAGTTATCTGCAACGGTCCCTGCAATTCACTAGCTTTCACAGGCAGCTCAAGTACGCCGGAGGTATAGGGCTTCAAGTGCGGCTGCTCGGGGTTCTGTGTGATTATGTAGCTGCGGCCACCTGGCAGCGCGACCACCACATTTGCCGAACTGGCAGCCGTCCACTGACCGCCGGTTGTGATGTGCAGCGCAATGTTACGCGACTTCTCGCGTTCGTTCTCAGCCAACGCTGGCACCAACTGTTGTTGCGCTTGGCTTGTTGCTAAATCATCACAGGTGCGCAGCAACAACCAGATAAAGACTAAAATCAGCAGTATGTAGAATGCTATAAGGTACCAATTCACGTCGAGGCTCTCCTTTAACAAGCGCTCACGCACCACCTCTTCGGCTGTGCTGTAGTACGAGCGACCAGCAAATATGGACATGTGGTAGCAAAAGCATGTTATGTTGTCGCTACCTTCCGAATCCAGCGCCGCAGAGCAGCCCTCGGTGCGCCAAACGGGATTATCTAAGTTGACATTCCACGTCAGGCATTCATACAGTTCCACATTAAAGGCATAGTTTGCCGCTTTACCGCGCATATTCACGCCTTTTGCCGCGATCAGCGCGACGTAACACCAGCCGGGTTCGCCGGCGTCGTTTGAAGCCGAGCATTTGGTGCCGTTACCAATGGCATCCGCTTTAATACGTATACCCGCGCGCACCTCCTGCTCGTTGGGTATGTAATTGCACTTCACTAGCGCATCCATATCCACGTCGACAGCCTTAAAGTTGATAATAATTGCGGCGCCCTCTGGTGCGCGCACTCGGTAGATGGGCATTTCGTTCGTTTCCCTAATCGAATGGCGTATCATTGGCGGTTCCGTTGGCAGGCGCTGCTGCAACATCTCAAATCTTAGTGGCACATCGAGCTCGGTAATTGCAAGCGATAGATCTTCTTCATTGAACGAGCTGAAGTAGAATACGGAGGTAGTGATGGGATGCTCGTTGGGATACCACCAGAACGGGTTTTCCCTGAAGGAAACCACTTGCGCAGTCATCTCCTTGCCGCCTAACTTCGATTGCATATCTTGCAGCATGGGCAGCGTAAGCACTGCAGTGGTGAGGTAGTCCAGCGAGACGATTATCAAGGGTTCATCGTCGTCGATGCCGAAAGTTGACATCTGCACAGTAAGCTTATTGACGATGAATTCCTTGTCACCCTTGTGCACGTTGAGGCTACTCGCGACGCCAATATCATGTAGTAGCTCAAAGGTTTTGCAAACGACATGCATCCAACGGTTTATTGGGGTTAGAACTGTGTCATTGAGCCAATTATGGGCGCCGTAGTGTTCGACCAAAAGTCCTACTCTTGGCGGCATCATGGCGCGCTCCTTGGCCACTTGTGCCATGCCGCCTTCGAATTCCCACAACAGTGACTGCACATCCACGAACTGCTCGGACTTTGTCGCGAACTTGGACACCATGCCAACTATTTCATCGGACATGTCCACGAGATCTTCCTTATCTAAGTCCTTTATTTCGCCATTTTCAATAGTCTTGGTGAAGCCATCGCTTATCTTGTCCAACAGCGCACGAAACACTTCAACTTTCTCACTTGTTAAATTGCCCATCGGTTCGACCAATTGGCTCGTCATTGTACCCAACTGTCGCACGTCAGCCAGCGAGTCCGCGTCGAAGTTCCCGAATGCAGAGAGTATACGTTTTACCACTTCTAGCGGCTGGTCCTTCATCATCAGCGTAGCTTTGACAACGGCGCGGGCAAAGTGCCCACCATTCAGTAATTTTTCTATATTATTTGCATCCCATTGCATATACTTCATTATGTTCTGCAATCCCCTTGGTATCACAGCGGGCGTCAACTCCAAAGGCACCTCATGCTTCGTGCAAGCATCAAAGTGATCACATATGCGGACGGTGAGCGCAGGCACCTGCGGCACATACACCTCCCAATTGGGATCGGTGGTACGGTCGTATAGCAAATTACCCGCCTTCAGCGTATAATACAACGGTAAATCGGGATCAGTCCAGTTCTTGCAAGCCACACGAAAGAGCGTGTCGCCAGGAATTCCGCTTTTTGGTGCAACGTTGCAAATGCCACCTGTCGGTGGATCGTTGCGCACGAAGTGCGCCTTGGCCTTACTCACCACACCATCGGCTACGAGGGTAACGTTGAACTTGAAGGTGGGCGCATTTGGCGGCATGAATCTCACCTTGCCATTGTGGTTGGACGTTATGAATACGTCGTCTACCCAGAAGTAGAATTTCAGGGACACCCCGCAGTAGCCAATGCAGTCGACGTGCAGGAAAATGCTGACACCCTCATTGTAACGGTAGTTTAAGCAATTGCGTTCACATAGAATAATTAACGGTATTTGTGTGCCGTATTCGACTCTTATATAAATTTGATCGCCTGCAACTAAACCCGTTACGGGCGACTTAGTATGGAGCGTTATTTGATAGAGGCCTCTAACGGAGAGGTAATGGCCATCAATCTTCAGTTTGGAACCTAGAGATTGAAGAGGATAAGGAAATTATGAAAAAGAAATAAATAAGAAAAGTGTGTTACAAAACGAAAAGAAAAATATTGAAAAAAGTAAATAAGAAGAAGCTCGACGGAAAAAAATATAGAAAAATAGCAAAATGAGTGTGCAAACTTGGATGAACATCAGAGCTGCATATCGTCACCTGAAATGCAACTTTTATGGCTTCATTCATACGAAATTGAATAGATTTGAAGAGCTTTATGAAGTGATATTTTCAAAAAAAAAAAATTTGATTTATGAAACATACTTTATTTTTTATTAAGAGTGTTAGTTACCATATTTGCGAAGGTATTTAATTCTACATATCGTGCACTTTCAAAGGTGTATTAACTCGGTATTTACTGTACAACAACATTTTTCAAATATATGACAACCCGCTACAAAAATATTTTCGACGATCAACTTTCTTAAACCTATTTAGTTTGATACCCGTATTGTAATATTTTGGCTGCATTTCTTTATTCATTCTGAACGTTTGGAATAAACTTTTTTGTTTATTTATTCTTTAGAACGTTCCTGATGATATGTTGACGTATATTTCAAACGCATTCTGTTTATTCCGGCTGTGAAATTGGATTATCCGGAATGTATAAAGAAACGCAGCCTTTATTTATTTTATCAATTGGATAATTGAATAAAAGTTTTCAAAAATATTTTTGACAGTAAACTTTCCTAAACCTCTTTAGTTTGATACCAATATTGCCATTTTCAATTTATCTAATCTTTTAAATTAAATTAAAATTTTCAAACAGGTGGCAAGCTTTCACAAAAATATTTTCCACTGCCAGCCTTTTAAAGCCTTTTTCTTTTGACATCCATATTGTAATATTTACTTTATCTTATCAAAACAGGTGGCAACTCTCCAATTATTTTTTTCCTGTATTTTATGTTAGACCTTTAGCAATACACTGGTGAAAACTGTATTTGATGCCATACATTAGTTTTCGAGTGACAGACAGACAAAAATACTAAAAATTATTGATTTGGCTACAGTTGCTCTTAAATAAACTAACTAAACAGATGCACAGAAAATATGTAATTGCTCCCACTCACCAGTTGACATAACCTTGCCCTCCTTGCAATATTGATTATCCATATCAATCTCGATTGGTCTGCAGGTCCATTCGAATATGTAGTGTTGATTTCCTTTCGGCTGACTGTAGTCAAAGCTTTTCGAGCCGTCCAACTCTATGATTTGCTCCGAACCAATCGATATTAGTTCCGAACCGTCGATGTGACTGTACATCTCTAAGTTGATGAAATCGATATGGCACTGGGAAGAGTGGCGAACAGTGTTTCGTAAACGAAATTGAAACAGTGATTTACATTTTAGTGTACATAAGTATAAGCTCCGGCTTAAAATAGATTTTTTCCGCGAATTTTATGCAAAACAATTTTTTACATTCGCGAATTTAATCGCACAATTTCTTATAGATAAATGCAATTTGCTCTTAAATTTTTGTTAATAGAAAAAAAAATCGCTTACAAAAATTTTGCTCGCAAATCTCAACTTTCAGAACTAACTTTTATTACACTCAGAAAAATAAGATCTCCGAGCTGATAAACTAAACTCACCTCACAGCGCCCCTTCGTGCGTCCATCACTTTTTGTCACCATAATTCGATTATTTTCGCCTTTTTCACTCGGCTTCACCGAAACTGTGAAGGGCAACCAAACTACACGCGGCACTTTTGTTGTACCCAAATCGGTTATAATCTCTGAAAATACATATGTATGTAAATTGAAAACAACGAAATTTGTCAAACATAAGAATTTTTCATTTGCTGCCCCCAACTTACCGCCTGAGCCCGAGACGACTTTCCACGTATACGTAACCGGCCGTGCACATGAGTGACCTTGCACTGCAATTTCATTGCGTTTGCCAACATCAATCCATATGGGTGCGTCTGCGTACTGGCCATGCACGCATTTACAAAATGTGCAGAGATCCTGCAGCGAAAATGACAGTTTGCAAACGTACAAGGCGAGTATAAAGTAATAGCGGAACATTGGTGTGGAGCGTTTTTTTGAAATAATAACGCGAGAAGATTTGATAGGAAAACTAAATAAGTTGTAAAACTTTTTTTTTTTTACGAAGCAGAAGTTGAAAGTTGTAAAAAAGACGAAAACAATTTTATTTCTACATATACATAAAAAGAAGCTAAGTTGTTGAGTGTCCTATAGAAGAGCCGCTTTACACCGGGTGTCTTCAGGCAAAGGCACAGAAGGGACTGAGAGCACCGATCTATTAGCCAAAGCTAGCACTGGTCAAAGAGTCAACGGCGCTCTCTTAACAATCTTCAAACTGAGCTAATTATGGCAAACGAATTGAAGAGTGTTGACAGAAAATCGCGTTTCGCTAAAAGTAAGATTAAGTTAAAAAAAGAAAAAAATCAAAAATCCTAAATCCGATAGGGTATGAAAACATACCAAAAAATTACCAATGAGATGCGATTAGGGAGATTCACACAGCAGTGTTTATCAGTGCCGATATCAATGTGTAGACAACTGTGCACTTAAGGAAAAAAAACTAGCACTAATTAGTCTCCAGTTGCACCCGTAAGTCGTCGATTTAGTGCATAGATAGGATAAATAACACTATTGTTGTTGTTTCATGTGCTCAAACAACAACCAAAATAGCCAATCATGCGATTTATGCTATCCATGCACCATGCTAGACAGTAGGCACCGGATCATGAATACCCCTATGCATATGTATGTATATGAATTGCATGCATGTAAATCCGCTTGTATGCCGGATGCCAACAAATAACGTTGTCAAATTAAGTTATATACCTTCACCCACATACACACACACACACACACATAGCACACATTTGAGAATGGCTTGAATGAAAGCCCGTCGCATTACGTATACGCCCTGTTGAATGGCAGAAATGAAATTTACTTTCAATTTCAATGCAATGCAATTTGTTTTTATTTTTTTCTTTTCGCTCTTAATTTCTTTTTCACATGCGCTTTATACACACATGTTTGGCGATTCGCTGCTTTTTATGACGTTACACTCGAGCGCCTTTTGTAAGTAAACTCGCACTCACACGCATGGACATTTATGTATACAGCACACTGAGAAGCCCTCATGGCACTGCTCGGCATACGAATTTATTGCATTATAATAAATTGTATTAAAAATAAGCGAGTAAAAAGATTGGATGGAGTACACCATACAACTCTGAATGAAAGTGGTGTAAGCAAGATTTTCATACTATGGCGGTGTGTGATGTGTGTGTGTGTGTGTGTGAAAGTGCGAGCATGCAGGTGTATTAATGCTTGCATCATGTATTTCACATACTCGCACACGCTGCATAATCAGCCAGATTTTCAATTGAACAACAAAAAAAAACAGCATTAATATACCCTACATGGCTCTACATTCCCTTCCGCTGTTGCTTATTGTCTGCTCGTTGCATTGATTGACACAACGTCTGGCTGAGTGACTGACTGACAAGCATACAAATTTTCATACGCATGTATGTACATATTAACTCGAAGCAGCTATTACTACATATAGTCAGCTGCATATTCATGTGTCATAAATTGAATTACACTTTTTGTATGCTCCCTTTAAAAGGTTATGAAAAAATAATCACGGCGCTTATTTTGTGTGTATGTTTCTTTTTTCTTGCTGCTTTTGCTTTATTGATTTTTTTGGGGGTATTCAATTTTTCAGCTTATCTACTTTGCTTGACAACAATAAAACGTTATTGCGTTTTGATTTGAATTATATGTACATATGTATATTTTCTTTGTGAAATTAATGCACAGCTGAATTCATAAGTTTTGGGTAGAAAAAAATTTGATTTTTATGCCGAAAATAGCTGCATTTGCCTGCTTGCGTTGTGATTGATTGAAATTGCAGCTGCGCCTAGCCTAAAGGCACGAAAACAGCTGTGATGATATGTCAAAATTGTGAGCAGTATGACTTAAATGTAAAGTTTCTTTAATTTTTAATAAAAATGCTGTCATTCACAATTCGGTCACATTCAAATAGGAATGAAAGCGTTTTTTGCAATGAAGAAGAATTTCTAACAATCATATGTTTAATTTTAGTTGAAGAGAAATGTTAAAAAAAAAAACGTACTATGCGATGAGTCTTTTTAGGCTCTAATGGGTCAAAGGTCTCATGAGCGCAATGGCAAGTGATTGGTTCTTCATATAAGCCTATAAGGAAGGAGCTACGATCGTTTAGTTGATAGTGATCACAAGTTGCAATCTATGGCACCAGCATATGGCTTCCTCGGGTAATGTCGGCAGCCAAATTTGGTCTCCTGCCTGGTGGAGGATGCGCTGTAACATTTTATTTGTTTTTGCTCTCCCTTGCCCAAAACACGGTAGTATGCAGTACTAGGTTCAAGCATAAAATGATCCATCAAGCTACATGGCTGCCTCCAGATCGAAATACGAGAAATTAAATCGATCATGCTGTGATAGACGGAAGGCATGCGTGAAAGAATAACTGGCACGATGAGAAGTGCCCGGAAACAGCAGAGAAAAAGTTGCCGCCTACAGGGCCACGCTGCGATCGGGAGCAACGCGCGAAATGTGGGACCGCTATGGGGATCTGAAGAGGGAAGCGAGACGTATTTGCCGCAATAATCAGAAAGAGAGAGGCCGAAATACGGAAGTGCGAAGAGCTTGAAATGCTGGCCGACAGGATGAATGCCCGAATATTTTACCAGATTGTTAGGCGACTTACGGAAGGTTTCAAGACTAGGACGTACTCCTGTAAGAACAACAATGGCGGCATAGTTACCGATGTTCTGAACATACTTAAATTATGGAGGGAACATTTCTACACCCTAATGAATGGCAACAACACTGAAAGTAGTGAAAGAGTGGATGCTCCGCCGCATGACTGACTATGACGAGGTACAAATAGCCTGCCAGCTGAGCTATTCAATTACGGTGGCGAGGAGTTGATAAGGTGTATGCTTCCACTTTTATGCAGAATTTGGTGAGATGAACGCATGCCCGACGACTGGAATTTAAGTGTGCTCAATTTAAGTGAAAAATGATTTTTTTGCTGTCAGTTCCCATATTAAATAAAAAAATATATATATTTTTCACTTAAATTGCTTTCTTGAAACTGGCTAATAGCTTTCCTAATATTTTTTAGCACAATTTAGCTGCTTTAATAATCGAGAGTTAAAAAGTCGCAACTATTTAATCGTGAATGGTAACATTCGTGGGTTCGAAATAGTCCTGAACACTCCTGAAAAATCTAGAAAATTCAAAAAAAAACTGCCGGAAATGTTCTTAGAAGTTACCAAACCGTTCTGAAAATTTTCCGAAAAATGCCAAAATTGAAAATCGCCCATCATTTCAGTTTTTACCAATTTAATAATTTAACTTTACAGCCTAAAAATCATAAGCAACCAGCAGTTGAAGTCTTGAAATGTTTTTGCTGTAGGGAAATTTCATCCCTCCTACACCAAAGCAGTTGCATTTAAAAACTAAGTAAAATACTATATTTCTCCCGTTGCAACTTGGCTGATAAATATTCGCTTCTTATCGCATTGGTGTGAGCGAATTTGTTTTCCTTTTCTTTTTCTGTCACAAAAATCTGGGTCAACATTTGCGTGCGCGGCACAAAACTCGATTTGCCAACGATTACATGGGCATTTGTTTGCTACATCGAAGTGCAGGTATGTATTTGCATAAATATCTACACCTGTACTACAAATATACATACATACATACATACACATGTATTATGCAACAAATACACACCACACCGCAACACAAAAAGGTGCACAATTTATAGACTTGCGCTCACAGTCAGACATTTGCCAAGCGACATTGATAAACAACGAAAAGTTAGAAAAACATTTCAAACTCGTCTGCAGCAAAAAAAAAAACAACAAAAAAAGGCGATAAAGAGGTGCCTTAGCCTAGGAAAAAAATAAAAAAATAAAGAGTGCACTAAAAAGTGCAGCGCCAATATATCGCCACCGCAGGGCTTAGTGTAGGTACAAGCTTCCTGAGCCGCTTTCCGCTGCTGCTGCCGTTGCTGATGCACTCTCTCTCCCTTTTGCGCTTCTAGGCAGTTTATGCAATTTAACAATGCAGTTTTCGCTACGAAATGGCCTTAAACACCCGACAATGTTTTATGTGCGCGCGCGTTGCCTTGTTTCTACCTGTTGGCTTAGTTCAAAAATTTGTTGCAACGCTCGACAGTTTTCGCTTTATTTTGTTGCTGCACTCACTATCCACTACTGGCCCCATTTTTTACAATCGCCGTTGTATTTCCATTTCCGTTGTCGATTTAATGGCACTAAATATCAGTAAATGCATCTAGCACTGCACACACACACACCCGCACACATGCATACCTAGTCATACTTAAATGCATACACTTCGGCGCTGGAGTGTAGAAATTGCGAAAAAAAAATAATAGGAGAAAGCGCATGTAAATGGGCCGCGATTTGTACGGCAGCAGCGCAGCGATCGCCCGTTTTTAAGTCACACCGTTGACCGGTCTGCGTACGTTTGTAGGATTTGTTGAATTTAAGACAAAAAATGGCGAACAAAGCTTGCAACAAACGAGCGCTTCAGCAGCTTACGACATAAACGCCAGCGGCGAGCGATCAAAAAAAAAAATCAAAGCGTACCATCGAGGCTTTAGGTGTTTAGTTTGATGACAGTAAAATTGTTGTACAGCTGGAATATATCAAATAAATGGGGTCACAATTTTTTAGTCGATTTCGAAAGAGCGCACCGAGTATGCATTTTATAGGAAAAAGGAAACAATTTTAGCGAATCGTAGAAATTTAATTTAAGACGAAGAGAAGACCTATTTTATTATCAAAATTTATATGACAGGCCTCGAAAGTAAAAAAATCTCCCAGAAAGCCAAAAACCTCGAAAAGCCCTCTAAATACGTATGCTGAAAAAAATTTTGCCCAAACACCAGAAATTATAAGCATTTTTCATCACTTTTTTTTGCTTAAAGGAAGTTTGGAGTTCAGGCAAAATTGGTTTTCTTTTCA